CATAACTTTAGTTGCGATTCAGATGTGAATCAACTTTCTGCATCATTATTCTTTGTTTTCTAAAATCAGAATCCATGTCACCTTTCTCTGAAACTTATATTGTGGCATTTTGCATACAACACAAACTTTCTTTTCTTTTACTGACATCGGTAGAGAACTTGATGCGGAAAGATCAATATTGTTCCTCTATTACTAGCATTGGCAATTAGTTTTACACCTCAAAAAATAAATGTAAATATGAATGACTGCCAAAAAAAAATGTAACATCAAAAATGATAAGAAACATACTCAAGTGGTACATTTCTGTAAATTTACCCCCCCCCCCCCTTTAAAAAAAAAGTGAAAGGATCCAAGCACGTCTTAAACGGGTTTAAATAAACTGATCAAAATTGATGCTTCTGTGTCATTTGATGCTCACCTGTCAATTGGACTTGATTAAACTTTTTGTATCAAATTATAAGGAATTTAGGATATACATGTAATGACAATTTCATGTATATGTATAAATCAACAAATTTTTAGCTCACCTGAGCCGAAGGCTCAAGTGAGCTTTTCTGATCACATTTTGTCCGGCGTCCGTCTGTCTGTAAACTTTTCACATTTTCGACTTCTTCTCAAGAATCGCTGGGCCAATTTCAACCAAACTTGCCACAAAGCATCCTTGGGTAAAGGGGATTCAAGTTTGTTCAAATGAAGGGCCACACCCTCACTCAAGGGGAGATAATTGGGAATTAATGAAAATTTGGTGGTATGTTTTAAAAATCTTCTTCGCAAGAACCACTGTGCCAGGAAAGATGAAACTTATGGGGAAACATCCTCAGGTAGTGTAGATTCAAGTTTGTTCAAATCATGACCCCCGGGGGTAGGGCGGGGCCACAATGGCCGACCAAAGTTTTACATAGAAATATATAGGAAAATTCTTTAAAAATCACCTTCTCAAGAATAACAAAGCCATAATTGATCATATTTATGTGGAAGCATCCTCAGGTAGTGTAGATTCAAGTTTGTTCAAATCATGACCCCCGGGGGTAGGGCGGGGCCACAATGGCCGACCAAAGTTTTACATAGAAATATATAGGAAAATTCTTTAAAAATCTTCTTCTCAAGAATAACAAAGCCATAATTGATCATATTTATGTGGAAGCATCCTCAGGTAGTGTAGATTCAAGTTTGTTCAAATCATGACCCCCGGGGGTAGGGCGGGGCCACAATGGCCGACCAAAGTTTTGCATAGAAATATATAGGAAAATTCTTTTAAAATCTTCTTCTCAAGAATAACAAAGCCATAATTGATCATATTTATATGGAAGCATCCTCAGGTAATGTCGATTCAAGTTTTTTTCAAATCATGACCCCCGGGGGTAGGGTGGGGCCACAATGGCCGACCAAAGTTTTACATAGAAATATATAGGAAAATTCTTTAAAAATCTTCTTCTCAAGAATAACAAAGCCATAATTGATCATATTTATGTGGAAGCATCCTCAGGTAGTGTCAATTCAAGTTTGTTCAAATCATGACCCCCGGGGGTAGGGCGGAGCCATAATGGCCAATCAAAAGTTTTACATAGAAATATATAGGAAAATTCTTTAAAAATCTTCTTCTCAAGAATAACAAAGCCATAATTGATCATATTATATGGAAGCATCCTCAGGTAGTGTCTATTAAATTTTTTTTAAAACATCCCCCCGGGGGGGTTGGGGGGGGCCACAATGGCCGACCAAAGTTTTACATAGAAATATATAAGAAAATTCTTTAAAAATCTTCTTCTCAAGAATAAAAAAGCCATAATTGATCATATTTATGTGGAAGCATCCTTAGGTAGTGTCGATTCAAGTTTGTTCAAATCATGACACAGGGGGTAGGGCGGGGCCACAATGGCCGACCAAAGTTTTGCATAGAAATATATAGGAAAATTCTTTTAAAATCTTCTTCTCAAGAATAACAAAGCCATAATTGATCATATTTATATGGAAGCATCCTCAGGTAGTGTCGATTCAAGTTTTTTCAAATCATGACCCCCGGGGGTAGGGTGGGGCCACAATGGCCGACCAAAGTTTTACATAGAAATATATAGGAAAATTCTTTAAAAATCTTCTTCTTAAGAATAACAAAGCCATAATTGATCATATTTATGTGGAAGCATCCTCAGGTAGTGTCGATTCAAGTTTGTTCAAATCATGACCCCGGGGGGTAGGGCGGGGCCACAATGGCCGACCAAAGTTTTACATAGAAATATATAGGAAAATTCTTTAAAAATCTTCTTCTCAAGAATAACAAAGCCATAATTGATCATATTTATGTGGAAGCATCCTCAGGTAATTTCGATTCAAGTTTGTTTAAATCATGACCCCGGGGGGGTAGGGCGGGGCCACAATGGCCGACCAAAGTTTTACATAGAAATATATAGGAAAATTCTTTAAATATCTTCTTCTCAAGAATAACAAAGCCATAATTGATCATATTTATATGGAAGCATCCTCAGGTAGTGTAGATTCAAGTTTGTTCAAATCATGACCCCCGGGGGTAGGGCGGGGCCACAATGGCCGACCAAAGTTTTACATAGAAATATATAGGAAAATTCTTTAAAAATCTTCTTCTCAAGAATAACAAAGCCATAATTGATCATATTTATATGGAAGCATCCTCAGGTAGTGTAGATTCAAGTTTGTTCAAATCATGACCCCCGGGGGTAGGGCGGGGCCACAATGGCCGACCAAAGTTTTACATAGAAATATATAGGAAAATTCTTTAAAAATCTTCTTCTCAAGAATAACAAAGCCATAATTGATCATATTTATGTGGAAGCATCCTCAGGTAGTGTCGATTCAAATTTATACAAATCATGACCCCCGGGGGTAGGGCGGGGCCACAATGGCCGACCAAAGTTTTACATAGAAATATATAGGAAAATTCTTTAAAAATCTTCTTCTCAAGAATAACAAAGCCATAATTGATCATATTTATATGGAAGCATCCTCAGGTAGTGTCGATTCAAGTTTATACAAATCATGACCCCCGGGGGTAGGGCGGGGCCACAATGGCCGACCAAAGTTTTACATAGAAATATATAGGAAAATTCTTTAAAAATCTTCTTCTCAAGAATAACAAAGCCATAATTGATCATATTTATGTGGAAGCATCCTCAGGTAGTGTCGATTCAAATTTATACAAATCATGACCCCCGGGGGTAGGGCGGGGCCACAATGGCCGACCAAAGTTTTACATAGAAATATATAGGAAAATTCTTTAAAAATCTTCTTCTCAAGAATAAAAAAACCATAATTAATCATATTGATATGGAAGCATCCTCAGGTAGTGTTGATTCAAGTTTGTTCAAATCATGACCCCCGGGGGTAGGGCGGGGCCACAATGGCCGACCAAAGTTTTACATAGACATTTATAGGAAAATTCTTTAAAAATCATCTTCTCAAGAATAGCAAAACCATATCTGGTCAAAGATTTACTTTTAGATTTAAACTTTTCAGTAATAAACTAATTTCTACTTTTTTCCTAGCCACAGTGCTCAGGTGAGCGATGTGGCCCATGGGCTTCTTGTTATTATATATGATGGTGAACTTTATCCCTTTGGGAGATTAAACTTCACAAAAAGTGCAGCCTCATTTGTACATGTATATTTCTTTGTTTTTTTCAGTTATCTCTAAAGGCAAGAGCAATGGATGTATACTCAGGAATACAGCAAGCTTTTGACACCATACTTCACAACTAAAGACTACAATAATATACTGGAGTACATTAAATCTGGTGGCATGTCCTTGTGAATGTTATAAACCTCTTCTTAGTACTTGTGTGCTTGGTGTTGTGATATTAAAACAGTATCTATAATATTTCAGAGACTGGGTCATTTTACTGAAAATGAGTACATTCCCTTGTGGAAAGGAACATGCATACACATACTTTTTTCAATTTAAATTATAACTGAACTACTAAGAATTTTTATTGTAAAATGGAATTATATATACATGTATAAAATATGTGAATACTATGCATTGTATTGTTTGTTGTTATCATTAAATTAATCACAATATTCTAATAGCATGTACACAGCCCCTCTCACCAGCCACTAACAGATTTTGGTAGTATAACATATTGCCAGTGGAGCACCCACTTCACTGACACTAATTCTGTCAGTAATCACATGATTTAAATACTCAGTATTTTTTTTTAAATTTTTTTTTTTAACTTTTATACTTGAAAAAAAAATGTACTTTTTGAAAGTCATAATTAGAAGATTCTCAAACTTGTATTGTTCTTATTTGTAAAGGACTATATATTACGGTAATGACCAATATTTTCCCCGAAAATCAAACTGACAGAGAAATATATAATTATGTTCTAATACGGATGACATCTGCAGACTTCAAGGAACTGATTATTTTTATAAACAAAGCCATCATGTGTTAGATGTGATGTCAAAAATGCTGCAAATTCAAAATTTAAACAAACCATTCATGATATTTTTATCAAACTTCATATGCTGATACAAACTGATGCAAGTTTTTCAAATCCATCAACATTTTTTGACCTGAGCCTTTCCTTTGACCTTGATCTCTCTTTTCTTAAATTAAGTATTTAGCTCAAGTTTAAATAAGTTTAAATAAACCATTCAAAATATTTTATCAAACATACTATGCTGAAATAATTAAATGAGGGCTATTCAACTGCATCAAAAACTTTCGACTATGCATTTTCCTTTCACCTGGACCTCCCTTTTCTTTAATTTGCATATTACTTAGTTTTAAAGAAAGCATTTAAAACGTTTTAAATTATTTTAAAGTCAGCATGCACTTACACATAACTTGGTGATAATTTATCATCTAAATCCACAGGCACTTGTTTCATACAGTGCACTAGTTTTCTACTTGATATTATAACACTTTAATGAAGTAGAAAACTAGCATTACTGTATGAAACAAGTGCCTGGGTCTATATCCAATTTTTTTTAGATTTCAATTTAAATAAACTGTTCAAGATACTCTTATCAAACTTCATACACTAAAACAAATTTTCACGTTGCATTACTATTAAATATACACTCGGCAGAGCATAATTGAATACTACATTAATGTATCATCAATATTCACAATTGCTTAATTTTTCATGGAAAATTCTTCATTTTCAAAATTAGTGAAATTAAAACATCACAATGTTTTCAACTTCTACAATATGACCACATACAACTGTAATCCCCACATTTGAGATTGTACCAAGGGGTCATGAATTTCAACAAAAAGTTGATTTGATTTCAACATATTTTATTGTAATTTATATTAATTACAAAGGGATTGATCACAGTTTCTGAAAACTTACACCTTCTCCCTACATGTATATAATTACACATTTAAATTGTCACAGTTATACATTAAGTTTTTAAAGTATACAATATTTGCAAAAGTTTACAAATCAATGTATTCTGTAGATATATATTTTGTACAAATGCAATGTTTCTAAAATCAAAGATACAGAATAGCATTGGTTTGGCTATGCAACTTTGATGGTAAATAAGAGCAACAAATAATGACAAATATCAAAATCATTTGAGTACATGTCGGAATAAACTGTGACCACAATACATATATAAGGCATTAAAATAATAAAGCAAAAACAAAAGTGCTTATAAAGTTGAAAATAAAGTGTTAACAAAGTTATAAGGATAACAAAAGTTACAAATGTGTGTCACTTAACAAAGCAAAATGCATAGGGGCAAAATTGTTGAATATAATTTTTAATTTATTGATACTCTTGATACAATTCAATATCTTTAACACTGTCATCAACTAAAGCTGCATCAATACATGTACCATTTTCATGTACATCAACACTAAATATTTTAGACTCTTTGGAATTCAGAGTATGATAAATATTATTCTTTTCATTCATATCATTATAAGCACTATCCTCTGGTTGTGTGTTACTTGGATTTAAAATAACAATATTTGCATTTGATGGGTTCAACTCTTCAGTTTCTATTACATCTTCTGATTGAACTCTTTCTTTTCTAAATGACACAAGTTTATCTTTTGACTTACATCTATTAGTTTTGTACTGATAAATATTTACAATCACACTTAAAATAAAAGAAACCAAAAACATTATACAGAAAATAGCCCAATAATTAACACTGTCTGTGTCATAAACTTTGTTATTTGTCTGGTGGATGGCAATATCATTCTTTAGTTCTTCGATTTCTCTCCTTAGAAAGTCATTCTCATTTGTCACATATACCAGTGACAAATTTCCACCATAAAAATCAAAACACTGAAACCAGAGGTAACTAAAAACTGAAATGTAGGTTCCATTGCATGGTGATAAATCAAACACTGTACAATTGGTATACTGCAATGGTTGGATTATCCACTTTTTTCCTTTGTTCATTTCAAGACAGTTTCCAAATATTGGTCTGCTACAAAAGCAACCCATCAAAGTTTCCTTTCCCCAGCTGTCTACAGCATAGTGGACTTGCAGATCATCCGGCACACACTTTATATCTTTAGTAAACTTTAAATATTCCTTATAGTTTCTAGGAATAACTCTGGTTGTTTTAAGGAAATATCCATCCCCAGGTGTGCATTTTGCATTGACATTAGGGAGTAGAAATGCCAAAGCAAGTAGCATGAAAATTTTCCGCATCATGTCTGAAATAAAATACAATAAGACAAATTTTAAAAAAAAATTATTATGTACAAGATGACAATCTGATGTACATTTGTATTACCGGTACTTGATTTCTCAGACCAGTCCAAGTTTCTTTCGACATTTGGCAACATCCTTAGCAAGAGCAACATGCAAGTTTGTTCCAAGCTAAATGGAGGAGGGCTTTAACCACAGGTACTTGTTTTGGAAATAATCTTTTTAACCCATGGTATAATAATAACACAAGGTATCTAACTCCGAATTACATTAGTGGAACTCAACAACAAAATGGTATGTGCGAATCTCAGGCAAAGAGCAAAGCTAAATAAAAAATGAGTTTAAAAATTCAATTCAAGATTTAAGATATTGAATAAATAAAATTTGATTACCTTGGTACTTCTCATCTTTTAGAAAAACACTACGACATTTTTCGATATAATTTTAGATACAGATTTTTAGCCAATCAAAATTGTCGTGCGGGATCAGCACAAATATACCGTTTTGTGGTTGAGTTCCATTTTCCACTCGGAATGCAGAGTTTTGACACTGTTTACGCAGATAAATGAAAACAAAGAATACATGCTGTATATGGTTGTGTAGATAAATTATCGTAGAAGACAATGTTGATAAAAGTTTGCCAGTGCATTTCACCTGAAAGTGTAAATGAGTGCATTTCCGAGGAGGGGGGTACTGAGTGTAATTGGGAGTTAGAAACCTTGTGTTATTATTTTACTATGGGTTAAAAAATTATTTCTAAAACACAGGGGCCGGTAACATATTGTATTTGATTTTACGTAATCACTATACATATACAAAAAGAGTCTTTTTGTACACATATAGTGATTACGTAAAATCAAATACAGCATGTTAACGGCCCCTGTGGTTTCAACACAAAGGGGCACCACCGGAAACCACAGGGGCCGGTAACATACTGTATTTGATTTTACGTAATCACTATATGTGTACAAAAAGAGAAAGGGAAACAATGTCAGCCCGAATTTACACAGGGTCGATCTCGGAAATATTTCGTATTTCATAGAAAAAACAATGTAGCCAGAAACTGCCATGGATCTGCTTGGGGCCTTGGTGCATCCCTCCCCCAAGCAGCCCTTCATAACCTAATGCTCCTTTAGGCTTTACATTATGGTCACAAGCACTCCCAATCTCAATTGTTAAAAAAATTTCCTCTACTATACTGTAAACATGACCGTTTATAATATAGTCAATGTATATTTTTTTTATAACATTAAGATGAGGAGTGCCTTATGATTATGGTGACAGAGTTGGGTACTAGGGGATTTACGAATTCCAGGGACCCTAGAATGGTCCCTGCAAATTCCTGATCTTAAATTGAAACCTAATAAAACTACAATTAAAACAATGTGAATTAAAAATTTTACTCAAAAACAATTTAAAATGACTTACACAGAGGATTTAGGATTAAGACACTCCAAATTAGGTTTTGCAACATTTAACATCAGAGACATATTTATATAAATCAAATATTTATTTAGGTGACTCATTAAAGCGACGGTAGTTTTTAAAGTTCAGATAGCAGGTACAAGTAGTATATTGAAGGGAAAGGGGTCCAAACTAACCCTTTTACAGTTGAAAATGTCACTAAATGTTGCCTCCCCCACCCACCCACCCTTCTACATGAAATAATTTTTCGACAAGTTGTTCTGACATTTTTTTCTATTTTTTTTTTATGTGATTGTCTCCAATTTTTTTTAGATAACTTCACAACTTGTTACATACCCCTACGTACCCTTTAACAATGAAACTTAGCTACGTGCCTTTATACTTGCATTATCACCGGTTCTTATGGGCATGAGTCTACAATACTTAAAACTTTAAAGGAGCAACTTTTCGAAAATTTTAATTCAGATTTAATAATATTCTGCCAGTGTCTCTGGTTCTACGTGTTTTTTTCCTAGTAATAGCTGCAAAAATACATCAAAGATATCCACTTCATGTAAATAATAATTGACGTACGGACTATTAATAATAAAATATAGATCATATTAACAATAGTTACCTCCAAAATCTGTGAAGAAAACCATAGACCAGGCCTAATGAGAAAACACACTAATAAGACCGGAAGTCTTTCTATGCGCTGCGCCACTCGGCACACCTCGAACCGATTCGTATGTAGTTCCGAGGTTTGGCGAGTGTGCGCTGCGCAGGAAGACAATTTGGCGCGAAAATAAGGAGGTCTATTTTACATACAAAAACAAGAGGCCCAGGAGCCACATCGCTCACCTGAGCAAATCGGCTAGGAAAAAGCACAAATCGGAAGGGGTGTGTGTTTTGAATTTAATACTACTTGAGAATGCCTTTATATTGATACAGCATACCCCTGGTATGACTTTGCTGTTCTGGATAAAAAGATTTTTTTACCACAAGGTACCTAACTCATTTTCAGGCACCCCCACTGCAAACTCAAATTATTTTTAAAATAGATCAATCGTTAACCTACTTTAACATGACATCATTCGCTTCAAAAGACTCAGAATGATTTTTGTTTGTTTAACGTCCCTCTTTTGAGACACCGGTACCTTCATTGCCGTTTGTGGGCTGCAAATTTAGATCTATATTCAGCACTTAAGACCATGGCGAGGGATATTTTTCTGGCTAGCACTTACTGCGAAACGGGGCCTCAATCTATAGGACCGATCTCCATGTCCCGCGGTGGGATTCGAACCCATGACGTAAGAATGGACTTCTTCAGGTCCATGACTCAAGAGCAAATCGCTGCGTCACATGGCGACTGGCATTGAATAAGTTAAAATGTCACAAAAATCTGTAAAGTTATATAGAAATTACGAAAGTTTATTGCAGTTTTTCACTATACATGTATTTTTCATGCTTTTTAGTCTATTGACTTCACTTTTTTCATTTTTCCCCCAGGTATTGTATCTTTTTTTGAATATTCACATAGTTCCCCAGATAGCAAGACTATGTTGGGCCAACATTGGCAAAAGGTTGTATGGTTGGCGTTGGGGGAACAACGTTGGGCCAACGTTGGACCAACGTCACCATGCCAACCTTCTCGACCATGACAGAATTCCTATGTTGGCCCAACGTTGGTCCAACGTTAGCAACTTCCATTCACTTAACTTCCCAAGGAAGGAGGGATGTTGATGTTGGCCCAACGTTGGCCCACTGTTTGTAATACACCCTTAAAGAAAGTGTCTTTTGAAGTTAGTAGTAGTATGTTGGCCCAACGTTGGTCCGATGTTTGTAATACACCCTTAAAGAAAGTGTCTTTTAAAGTTGGTAGTAGTATGTTGGCCCAACGTTGGCTTAATGTCGGTAATACACCCTAAAAGAAAGTGTCTTTTAAAGTTGGTAGTAGTATGTTGGCCCAACGTTGGCCCGATGTTTGTAATACACCCTTAAAGAAAGTGTCTTTTAAAGTAGGTAGTAGTATGTTGGCCCAACGTTGGCCCAGTGTTTGTATTACACCCTTAAAGAAAGCTTTTAAAGTTGGTAGTAGTATGTTGGCCCAACGTTGGCTTAATGTCGGTAATACACCCTAAAAGAAAGTGTCTTTTAAAGTTGGTAGTAGTATGTTGGCCCAACGTTGGCCCGACGTTTGTAATACACCCTTAAAGAAAGTGTCTTTTAAAGTAGGTAGTAGTATGTTGGCCCAACGTTGGCCCACTGTTTGTATTACACCCTTAAAGAAAGCTTTTAAAGTTGGTAGTAGTATGTTGGCCCAACGTTGGCCCAATGTCGGTAATACACCCTTAAAGAAAGTGTCTTATCAATTTGGTAGTAGATGATGCCCGATGTTAGCACCAGTGTTCTTTTGTTTAGGTGTTTCAAAGATGGGATATTTATATTGGGCCAACGCTTACTGCCAACTAAAGATGGTGTCAGTTTTAGCTGCTGAGCTGACATTCTATGTCCATGCTTTTAATTGGATGACTGTTTTTGTTTAGATCTGATATATTCAACATTCTAAATTTTAACTTAAGTGATCACAGCACCAAAGAGTGTTTTATTATATTTTTTGAATTGTGCACATGCATGATTAGTTATTTGAAATAAAACCCTTGAAACTATGAATTTTTTCATGAGCGTTGTATTCATGAGAATTTAGAGAAGACTGAATACGTTCTCAGGAACAGGATGTGAATGAAGCCTACATATACATAAATCAAAATGACACAGCTTTATAATTAAATTGAAACAAAAGTTAGGCGTTCGCTATCACGTGACCAAACTGTGGAGTGAGCTGTCGGATTCAATTGCTCACAGGTGGTGATAATGCAGGGCAAGCAAGAAGTGAAATTTAAATTTGTGGATTATACACTTGCTATATAGCTGTATTTAGAAGCGATGTAAGTATATTTATTCTTATTTATTCAGGTTAACTGTTAAAATTGATTCGGAATTCATTCTTGTCATGTTTTTGCACACAAGCACACTGTAAGTTAAGGTTAAATAACACCTTTAAAGTTGTTTATCTATCTAATTCTTAACTGTCTATTACAGACATGATTGTAACAAAGAAATTCAGTCAGAGACTGCAAGGAAAACAAATGTTGTGGCGGTAAATAACAATGAAATCGAAGACCATGCATAAAGAAGTGTATAAAGTAAGAGTCCGTATGACAAAGATCAAGATGAAGAAAACGGGAGGCGACGAAGGGACGGAAAAAGAGCGGGAATACAACAAAAGGACAGTAATAAAGGAAGTGAGCTCTGATTAAGAACTTTGAATTGATAATTTTTCATAATTAACCTCTATTGTCTATTTTAAAATTTATTTTGTAAATGATGATTGAATTGATGTATATAAAATATTATCACAGTGAATCATTAGTAATGTTTTCATTAAACATGTCCATGTATGCATTTTGAATGCAGATTGAGTTGTGTATTAATTATTTTAAACAGTCATAAAATAGGTTTATGTAAAGAATCACTTAACCAATTGCAAATGTTTCTATGTAATAACTTCGTTGGCCCAACAATTTGCCATCTGACGTTGTAAAAAAAAAAAGGGTTAACATTGGGCCAACCTAACCAACCAGTTGTTAAGGTTGGCTGTTAGTTGGAATACACTAAAAACTACGTTGGCCCAACAATATGCCATCTGACATTTCAACATAGGGCCAACGTTGGGCCAACCTAACCAAACAGTTGTTAAGGTTGGCTGTTAGTTGGCATACACTAATAACTACGTTGGCCCAACAATATGCCATCTGACATTTCAACAAAGGGCCAACGTTGGGCCAACCTAACCAACCAGTTATTAAGGTTGGCTGTTAGTTGTCATACAATTATACCTACGTTGGCCCAACAATATGCCAACATGTTGGACCAACGTTGGGCCGATGAGCAAAATTACCGTGGGCCAACGTAAGGTTACCAACAGTGGGCCAACGTTGGAAAAAAAATTGGGCCAACGTTGGCCCAACTATGTCTTGCTATCTGGGTCATAGGTTCCCAATGGGCATTTCCCCTAAATATAAACCCCAAAATGTACTGAGACGACAGCCACGTAGCATTTTTGAAAGGGGGGTCAGCCATAGAAAAAAAATTGACTTACCTGAAAAGGTTAACAAGCCAAAACAAAAAAAAAAAAAAAAAAAAAAAAAAAAAAAAAAAAAAAAAAAAAGAGGCCCACGGGCCTTATAGGTCACCCGAGGATCATGTAACAACTTTTGACAATTGAATTTATTTCGTGTTTTAAACCAGAGGCCATGAAATTCATAATTTTGAAAGAGGCAGTATTGCTTATCATAATTATACACTAAGCATGCTTACTCTAGTTACTTAATACCCAGAAGTAGATCAGATTAACAAAGAGAAAATGCACTTCCACTTTATAACCAGTTATGCACCTCACCCTAAAGGAACCACTAACCCTGGGGCCATTTATTTCAAAATTTTGGAAATTTTATCATTAATTTTATTTCATCATAAATGGTTGATTAATACCAACAAGAAGATTTCAAAGCATTAATTTATTTTCAGACTAAGTAACCCCCCCTACCCCTGACCCAGGGGGTATAAAATTCATTGTAATGCTAGATGCACCTTTTTTCATCATAAATATATATAAACTTAGATATTTGGCACCCTGGAGCAAAGGAAAAGATTTTCAAAGAATTAATGCATTTTAGAGGCCCACCCTAGCACTAGAACCCTGACCCAGGGGCCATGAATTTCACAATTTTGGTAGAGGACTAAATGCTGATTACAATCATGCCAACAGTTTGACTGCTTGGTGTCCAGGAGTAAAGAAGAAGATTTTTAAAGATTGCACTAATTTTAGTTGTTTTGGCCCCATCCCAAGGCCCAGGGACCATGAAATTCACAATTTTTGTTTCCCTTCACCCATAGATGCTAGATGCTGTATGCCAAAATTGGTTGAAATTGGTTCAGTGGTTTCAGAAAAGAAGCTGAATGAAAATGTTCAAATGTTAATGCATAATGAACGGCGACAGATGAAAACGGATAGCAATAGGTCACATGAGTTTACTAAGGTGACCTAAAAAAAACAAGAATTGCCCAAATTCGAAAATCCTATTTCGTGGTAGTGGGGGGTGGGGGTGGGGGGTAGAAGCCAACTTCTTTCGTTGCTGACTTTTTTCAATAACAATTTCTTTGCATTCCATACTGACTATATGTTTTCCTGATATCAACTTCTTGCAGTATACAGTGGGAGGACCAACCGGCCTAAATTCAATGAACATTTCCAATAGTTAAAGTAATGTTGGGGGAAAAAAGGAAAAAGTTGGGGGCCAGCCCCCCCCCCCCCCCCCCCCCCCCCCCCCCTCTGTTGCTACGTGCCTGAGACGAAATAGCAAATACAGTTATTTAAGTGAAATGGAAAATGCCATGGTTCGGAGTCCTCCAGAATGGGAGAGGATCGTAAATTTTGGCCGTGGTTTGCGACGACATTATCTTATGCAATGACCCTGCTAGTAAATGCGCAATACAACGTTTAATTTGTTGACACGGGTAGGTGCGTTCCAGAATTCACCATTGGTAACTTCTGTAAGGTAACATTGGTAACTTACTACTGTTACTGTTATTAGTAAGCTAATAATCTACTTTCACATTTAGATGTAGGTCACCTATTCAAATGAAACCAAGGTTAATGACCTTGTGACCTTGACTGTGACCTATATGCTAAAATTAGCTTTTCAAACGTTGTTGCAGTCAGGTGCATAGTGTTTCACAAACACATCTTGTTTTCATTATTAAGGGTGACGGGCTCGTCTGATAGTGGGTGCGTTCAGAGTATCTCCAGTGGCACCATCACCTCTTTGCCTGGCGACTAAGGGGAATAACTCCTAGGCAAAATATGTCATAGGAAAAGGGTCTTTTTGACATACGACTTATTCAAATGTCAAACTTGTCAAGTCTCAGGAACAGAGATTAATCTGTGATTTTTCACACAAATCAGGAGTTGTTGGTAAACCTAAAAGGTATCTGAGGAAAAGCCGACAATATTAAGAAGACATGCTTATGCAATTTATTTGGATATGCACCTCATTTTGTTTGGTGTGTGCTGTATCTGTGTACGTACTTGACAATTTGTTAATAAACCTATAATCATGCATTATAAAATTTGACCGATTTCATGTCATATCTCCATGAAATTATAACAAGAGGCCCATGGGCCACATTGCTCACCTGATAAGTGTTCACCATTCTGTTCTTTACCAGATTTCCCCCTTCTAATACATATTGTGACCCCACCCTACCCCACTGATCATAATTTAGACAATTTGAAATCTACACTACCCCAGGATGCTTCCATACAAGTTTCAGCTTTTCTGGCCTGGTGGTTCTTGAGAAGAAGATTTTCGAAAATTTTTCCTATATATTTCTATGTAAAACTTTGATTCCCCATTGAGATCCCGCTCTACCCCCGGGGGTCATGATTTTAACAATTTAGAATCTACACTACCCCAGGATGCTTCCACATAAGTTTCAGCTTTTCTGGCCCAGTGGTTCTTCTTCAGATTTTTCCTATATATTTCTATGTAAAACTTTTAATTCCAAATTGTGGCTCCGCCCTATCCAAGGGGGTCATGATTTGAACAATTTAGAATACACACTACCCCAGGGTGCTTCTACATAAGTTTTAGCTTTTCTGGCCCAGTGGTTCTTAAGAAAAAGATTTTCAAAGAATTTTCCTATATATTTCTATGTAAAACTTTGATTCCCCATTATGGCCTGCCCAACCCCTGGGGGTTATGATTTTAACAATTTAGAATCTACACTACCCCAGGATGCTTCCACATAAGTTTCAGCTTTTCTGGCCCAGTGGTTCTTGAGAAGAAGATTTTTTAATGACCCCACCCTATTTCTGTCTTTTCTTGATTATCTCCCCCTTGTGTTGGGACTTGGCCCTTCATTTTAACAATTTGAGTCTTCGGCTCAGGTGAGTTAAAAATGATATCTTATTTCTTAATTTAATCATGCCAACAATTTGGTGATTTTAGTCCCACCCCTGAGGCCCCAAGGGGGCAGGGACCATGAATATCACAATTGTTGTTGCCCTTCACCCATAGATGCTGTATGTGCCAAAATTAGATGAATTTGGGTAAGGTTCCAGAGAAGAAAAGAATTTGAAAATGTTTATTTTTTATGCATGACACACAACACATGGTGACAGATAAAAAATTAAAGTGGATAGAAATAGGTCACCTGAGTGACAAAAATCTGTATTCAAGGTTTTTGAATGACACTATTTATCCCTGAAAATTGAGCATTGAAAATGAAGTACATGTACTAAAAAGATAGTTTTGTAATGACTCAAGACTGCTGATTCCCACATTTTAAATCAAAGGAAAAAGAAGAAAGAAAGTATAACAAAGCTGTATGCCCTAAACTATTTAGTCTACCCATATATACATCTTATATAATTTCAAATTTTGTTCAGCATAAAATGCTTACATTTATCATTATGAATTATTTACATTGTCAATGTATATCTTTTTCTTTAACATCTATAAATCCTATCTATAAATCCTCTAGCAGATTTTAGAAGTATTAAGTTTCCAGTGAGGTCCCCACTTCACTGACATGTTCCCTGACCGTCCGGTCTAACACTCCATACACGTCCTTACAGCCTTTCACAGCCATGTCCACCACCTTACTCAAATTATCTTCATGAAGCCGACCATTCATCTCCAGAAAAACAATCTGTTCCGACTTCGGAAGAACAGCCACAATAATTTCTGGACTTCCTGAAGATTCTTCTAAATAATTAATGTCAACAATGGGACTGTCACCTAGGTAACTCGCTGAGCAAGCACAGACATAGTCTTTCATGGGGATTCCAGCATCAATTACAGCTAATGTTGCAGCATTCACACTGGCACAATAATTCCCTCCATCAGACTGTAGAACCTTAAAATAATGTATGATAGAAATATAAAAGTTGAGAGGAAAACTAGTAAGAGATTGTATCATAAAAAAATTATTACACTGGTTGATGAAAATCATAATGAATTCATAACATTTATTTAGGGAATCTTTTAAGTTTTGTATGTGTTATTGGTGTGTAAATCAAAGACAAAAACATGCATTCTTTATGCATATACTGTGAAATCACAAATTTTTGTGGGTTTATTTTTCATTGTTTTTGAGGTAAAGAGAGCCCACAAATTTATGACCACCATGAAATGTAAAATTTCACATGCATTACCACTAAACATTTTCAAACTATGAAACCAAATCCCCCTATTAAAACCAATATTTTTTCTTCAAACGTCGAAAATTTGACCCCACTAAAATTAACTATAATACATGTATATCATATTATTTACAAAATTACATTTAAATATTCAAAAGCATCAAAATACTTGTATACTCAATCTTTTTATTTCTCACTGCCCTATATCATTTTATTTTTATGAACATCTATGCAGCCTCATTGTGATATCACTTTAGAGTGAGTTTCAATATGTATACTTCTGTGCGTAAGTCTACACGAAAAGGGCATTCAAATCAATTTCTTAGTTGGTTATCTAGAAAAAAAACACAGGAAATGTAAATATTAATTGATAATTATAGTCCTTCATTGCAAAAGATCCATCTTTTAATATCCAAGAAAATCCTCTTGCCTCAACAAAGATATCAATTTGAGACCTGGGATGAAGACTGGTTAAGATAGCAGCATTGAATGTTTGCTGTAGATGCATTGTCATTTCTTGAGATTTTCGATCCCCTCTCGGTCGTCTTTTACGTTCACTGGTGCTGAAGGTTGCCATACTGAACTGACAGTTGACAAGTACTTTATCCTGCAGAAGTTTACTTCGACTTCCTCGAATCTGTGGAAAAGGTAGAAGAGGTCATTTGATTATTTTCTATTACAACTAAATTTATGGCTCTCTAGTTATTCAACAAAGTATTGAGGTATACTAGTGTCTACCGGTATATTAAATAATAAATATACAAAAATCTTGCCCACAGAAAAGTACAAAATATTGGGTTTTCTTGAAATACCTACTGTAAACATGGAAATTTTGACGATGTGCTAATTTTGACTATTTTGACGATTTTCCTTTTCTCGTCAAAATTTACACTCGTCAAACTTCACATCATATATATAGTGTCATAACAGACATTGACCATTGTACAACTTTACCGCTAAATTTTCTCGGCTCTCCCTTTTTAAAACTAGACCAAAGCTACTGTTAATTTCTATTTTAATTAGTTATGAAAACACAGTGATATATAATCGTATTTTTAAAAATCATTGAATCTAAACTAGTGTATCAAATACTGCATGCGTAATTTCGCGTAATTATCACGCTGTCTAACCTAATTTGTCACCTCTGGCAATTGACCGCTTATAGTGAAAACAAATTACAAGAGGTCAATTTATTTAATCAAATCTTGCACACTTAGATAGTTTGTACAATCTTACACACTGTAGATACTAGAAGTCTGTACAAAAATTGAATTTTAGTGATTCCGACGCTGCCTTTGTATCCCTGTCAATTCTAAGATTTATAACTCTTGACTAAATATTTCGTCAAAATTAACACTCGTCAATTTTAGTAAACAAAAAATCGTAAATTTTTCAACTCGTCAATATAACCACGTTTACAGTAATTGAAGACCCACCTGTAATTGAAGACCTAGATATGACCTATGGAAGACCTACAAAAATATGGGTTATAGACAGCAAAACTGATGTGATATTCTGATTAAGTAAGTCCTAAATATAGAATACAGAAAAAAGTGTTTTAAAAAAGTTTTAACATGTATTTTTTAAGCTAGGTAAAGGGAACCATTTCTTCACTCAGACGACCTACTACACAGGTCCAGCACAATACCCTGAGACAACAACTCAGGACTCGACTTTCCGTATTTATTTTTTTAATTTTTTAAGAATTTTTTTGAATTTTTATTACATAAAATACTTTGATCAAGGTATTTGTAATACCTTAATATCGCTTTATATAGCTTTATCAAGCTATATACCTTTATCAGGGTAATGTGCTGAACCTGCTACAAGAACGATATTAGTTATCCAGGTTCAATCAAGGGTCCATTTATGGAATAAAACCTGGAGTAAATCCCCGTACACCCTTGATTGGACCTGGATAACGAATTTATTTCCTTTGTACCCATAAAAATGCTTTGTAAACATCAGAGTGTTTCTCAATCTATCGATTAGATAACTACGTACTACAATGCATCGTGACGTCATGTTATTTGGTTTTTATCATAGGGAATGTATGCATTGTGACATCACGTCTTATTTACACCCGCCTCAAGTCGGGTGCACGGATATTTACAATGGAATTTGTAACCAATCAAAGCTCGTGTTACAAGCTAAATAGGAAATAATAACCCATATTTTTGTAGGTCTTCCATAGGTCTTCAATTACCTGCAGGTTTTCAATAAGGCAGGTCGTTCTTAATATATGTAAGGTTCCTACAACAAAATAAAGTAGACATTGAACAGTTGAAGACTTATTTTACTACTCTACCATATATTCAGATTTGGGTAGACTTTACTTTACCGGTCCCCAGATCCGCAAGATTCTCGCGCTCATTGGACTATGACGTAACAGCAATGTCTTTCAACTGAAATGGGTTAAATATGCACACTATTCGACGATTAGGCAGAGCTGTGGAAAACTTTTTCAGAAAGCCAGTCATTCCGACCGGCAAGAAAGCAAAAAATGCCGGTCCGAAACGATTTTTGCCGGTCCGAAATAGTAAGTTGCAAAATTAAAAAGAAAAGCATAACATTTATTTTCTTAATTACACTTAATGACTTTACTTAATAATAACATTCATTCTCATTTCCAAGTCCTCCTCCATTCTGGTTTTTTTTTTTTGCATTTATTATAATTCTAGATTTCGTCACTTTTGGGCAGGTGTCCATGACAATAGTTATACTGCATAGAAAATGTAATTTTTAAAAACATTAATGCCTTTGGGAATTATATTTTACCTCGAAAATGAGTCTAAGAAATTCTGTTCATCAATAATTAAGATACCCACATCATGAAATCGATGAAAAAAACTAAATCTGTGACAGTAGGGAACGACGGAAGTACTAGGTTTAACTGTGTTTGAATTTTTCTTTAGAATGTTTTACATACCCAGATATTAAGCCTGCCTTTATCTTTTTTTTAATGTTTTCTACCTAATTCTGTCCTATTTGTAAATTAAAAGGCCACGCGAGACAATGCTGGTTTCGCTTTCATTTTCTGTAGCCTCGATCTCGTGCAAAGAAAAAGTATTGCGCAATCGTATAGAAGGTACAATAATTAAGTTGGGAAGTGCGCCGATGATAGGCCTGAATTAAAATGTAAAAAACAAAAACCTTTAAAAAAGAAAAGGTCGGTCATTTGGACCGACATTGATAGCATTTTACCGGTCACAGGCATTTTTTGCCGGTCTTGCCGGCTCATGCCGGCAGTTTTCCACAGCTCTCTTAGGGTTAGTCTTGCACCCACCTGAGAGATCAGGGTTAGTTCTTGCACTAGTATTTGACTGATTAGGGTTAGTCTGAATAGTCTTGCATCCATTCGAGAGATTAGGGCTAGTTCTCACACATTATTCGACTGATTATGGTTAGTTTAGCATCTGCCTGGGAGATTTCGTCTAACGTCTTTGTCCTTGCATACCATCCGATGGATTAGGGTTAGTGACTCGTTCTTTTAGATAAGTTGAGAAATTCAGTTGTTTCTGTAATTTTTCCAAGATCATAATTTAGCTTCAAAGGCATTTTGTTCCTTTGTTTACATGGAAGAATGGCTAAGTCCGAAAGAAATGACACTAAGCATGCGCCGCACGCGCTTCGTTCAGAATTATTCTTTGACGATTTTTTCCATGAATAAACAATATTTATTAATTTTTTTCAGAGAACGAGGTTAAAAACGAAGTTTTAAACTAAAGTTTTAACCGTAGAATTCGAATTTCTGGGGACCGGTAAAGTCGTTCCTCAGATTCTGAAAATCACCTCATGAGGTCCGTAAACAGCAGCTAAGACCTTTGTATTTCCCTGTTCTACGTATGCTGAACCATCGGCTTGACTGAAAACCCCTAGCTTACATTGAATTTTACGTAATTCGTGCGCTCTTCTCCCATCTATTCGGAATCCTTGATCAGAGAGCAGCTCCAGGCCAGCCATGCTTGCAAACCGCAACGGGAAATCACTATATCTCGCTAAAATTAAAATGGTAGAAAATGGATAAGGATGGATATAAAGAATCCGACATATTTGTTAATTACCGGCCGCCAGGAGGCGGTCGGTTAGTTGATATAATAGCCTAGGTCACACAAGTCGTTTGACCCCCCACTCAAACGCCTTGGAGCATACTGTAGATAAAATTTACACCACGGGGCGCTGTTAAAGAACGTTAACTCTAAATTCTTATGGCGATTCCGCGGAAAGTAAACATTACATTTAAAAAGTAAAAAAGCATATACTGTTAAACATTCTATACACTTCGTTTTTTTTTTTAATTCAGCAAGTGATTAGAAAGTGTGTACTCTAACATTTAGACTGATTATTTCATCTGCAAACTCCTACACATATATGGCAAGAAATTGGTACCGTGTTTTTAGGTGATACTTTTGTACCCTAGGGTACACCTCTATTTATCCTTTACTAATAAGGTAACAATTAGGGTACAGTACAAAACCATTGGAAAATGAAAGTAGAAAATTTCTGAAGGACTGTCAATGTAACCGGGTTACAATGGGTACAGTGGTTACTTATTAACATGATTAACAGTAATAACACCTTTTCTACTTTTATCCTAAAACTATTTGATTTTAGAATTTAAACAGGGTACGGAGGGAACTATGCCTATACAAATTTAAATCACAACAATTGATATTTTCATAACTTAAAGTGTTTGATTCATATTAGCATGATCATGACCTAATGGCTTCAATGGTCTGCATTACAAAAAACAACCACACTCATGTAAGTATTTAAGAGGGTATAAGCCAGCTTCTTACCTTTAATTATGGTTATTATAGTCCTGATGCTTGAAGTTATAATAAGCTACACTGATAATTATATTCCAGACTTGAGCATTGCATGACACACCTGATACTGTATACCTATCGCAAATGATTTACCTGTACCCCCACTCTGTCTGACAAACACAAACTCTACTAACAGTACCTGATGGTGTGTACTATACACAAACTGATCAAATCATTGTAGGATTGGGCGATCATTTACTTCCATTTCAGGCCAGACTAATTTAAATTACCCAATACACTGTATTTATCTTATCCAATTCAATTTTGATTAGTAAATTATAGTTATATAGTAATTTTTAACCAAGTTTAGCTAAACTTTATTAATATATTTGTAAATAGTACTAGTACTTTGAACAGATCATTTAATACCTTTTTTTAACAAAAGTATATACCATGGGTAGCTAGGTCCCTGCCGTATCATGGGCTTGTACATTTGAGATAATAAGCACAGAGATTTTTTTTTTTATTTAAGCCCTTCCCATCACCATGAATATAAAATATGTCACTTGTTCTGATAAAAATCTGCATTGCAAAACTCAGATGCTTTAAAATTTGTATTAAGAATTTTTATCCAATTACTTTATTATATTATTTCCAAAACTAACATAGTTCAATACTTTATAAATAAAAGACCATGAACAATGAAATTGAATCAAAATCTCTTTCAAAATCGATTAAAACCAGCAATCCTGGTATATTTTTAGCTTCTGTATATGCCATTAAATCATAAATTAATCTGGTGTTTTCACCAAAATATCTTCCTTTTAGGAATTCAGTGTGAGTGTCTGAAATCAAAAGATCCAGAGTATATTTTATTCTGTAATTTAGTAGAGTTATGGTCTCCAATTTTTCAAAAATTGTCTGGGTTTATTCCCATTGGGTATACATTGTACATGAAATTATCCCTAGTCTTTGTGACATAGGAATTTCTTTTTTTATGCGCCCGGATCGATAGATCCCGGGCGTATATTGTTTTTGTCCTGTCTGTTTGTCTGTTTATCTGTTTGTCTGTTGTCAACTTTAACCTTGGCCATAACTTTTGAACAATAAGAGATAGAGACTTCATATTTGGTATGCATACTCCACTAATAAAGTCCTTTCAAATGACATCAAGGTCAATGACCTTGTGACCTTGACTGTGACCTATATGCTAAAAATAGCTTTTTCCACTGTTTGTCATAACTTTTTAACCATAGGAGATAGGGACTTCATATTTGGGATGCATACTCCACTAATAAAGCCCTTTCAGTTGACAACAAGGTCAATGATCTTGTGACCTTGACTGTGACCTATATGCTAAAAATAGCTTTTTACACTTTTTGCCATAACTTTTGAACCATAGGAGATAGGATCTTCATATTTGGGATGCATACTCCACTGATTAAGTTCTTTCAAATGACACCATGGTCAATGACCTTGTGACCTTGACTGTGACCTATATGCTAAAAATAGCTTTTTACACTTTTTGCCATAACTTTTGAACCATAGGAGATAGGAACTTCATATTTGGGATGCATACTCCACTGATTAAGTTCTTTCAAATGACACCATGGTCAATGACCTTGACTGTGACCAATATGCTAAAAATAGATTTTTTGAACTTTGTTGCCGCCGGGCGCATAGTGTTTCACAAACACATCTTGTTTGACAATATACAATTTGTAGCTCGCATAATGTATGTAGACTTTAAGATCACTCCAGAAAATTTTTTTAAAAATTCAGTTGTGAATTAAGCTTTAGCATCACTTCCAGGAGATTAATCATTCTTCATATTTTTTAAAACTTGTAAAACTTCATTTTCTTCAATATCTTTTTCTTAATCAAAGAGGTGATTTTATCTAATTTTGGAATTTCAGTTGAGTTAATAATTTCTTCTAAATCAATATCAATCAGTTTATAATCTAGTGTATTAGAATATAAATCTTGATAAAACTTTTTGACTTGATTCAAAATTTCTGATTGATCATATATAAGGTGACATTTTTTTTATTTCTTGGTTTACGGATCCACCAATCTGATTTTTTTTTAAGTCTCCTGAATTGATCGAGTACTTTGGATTAGAGGAAATTATTTTTCTTTTCTTTTTTTTTTAAATCAAACTAAATTCTAGATCAGGTACGGCATAGGACATTTATATGTTCTTTCAATGTAGCTCTAAAATATGGCAGTATATACATGTACCCCGGTAATACATGCATATAAATCTGTGAAAATTTTGATAATCTAAATTTAAGGTTCAGAAGGTATGAAACATTGGATTTGGGAAATGTTTTGCAGTGGAATTATAAAGTTGCAAAATCAAGTATGCTAGGAAAAGCCAGTGAAATTTTTAGGTGGCAACTAGTTTAAATGCATGTAAACAGAGAAAGAAATAGAGAAATAACAGACTTGTAAAAGTTTTTTTTTCAATAGATGGCACTGTAGCTCTAGGTTTTCCATCCCAATTTTTCTGATCAGAGCTGCAGTCTTGCAGCTATATGTAACGAGCAGGTGAACTTAAGTGTTAGTTTTTATATATGGCATGCATTTTATTCTTCTGCCAATTTACATAGGTATCATAAAAAGAAGAGAATATGATTATTAAATAGAAAATAGAAGGAAAGAAGAGAAATTTACATTAAGTATTTTGAATTTAAAAGCATATGCCTCTGGCCTGCCGCCTCTGATTTGTTAATAATTTTTATACAAGTAGTCTTAGATCATGATTACATGTATATCATGTGATCATAATAAATACTGCATAATTTTTGGTAATGAACACACAGAAATTTTGACAATAAATATTAATTTAATCAAAAAGAAAAAATTAAAGTTAACAAATAAGATTACTTTTATAAAGAAAGTTCATCTACTTTTTGGGGATTACTTTAGGATATGAGCTAATTTTATATTTACAGCAAATAATGACATATAGAGGCAGTTGTGCAAAAAAGAAAATTAATGAAATATGTTGTGGAGGGGTTGGGGTCAGCTGAAATGCTGTTGTATGTGTACTGTATAAATCAGATCTAAGGTAGAATCTGAGGAAGATCAGGTGATAATCCACCTGGTATACACATACCTATGAAGTCACATGTTTATTGTTCTCCTGGCCAGGTGTCAAACTTGTAAAACCTTCCAATTCGCATAGAATATACAAGAAATATACAGTTCTTTTGTAATGTCCAGGAAAGGTGTGAAAAGTAGAAGGGGTCTTTCAATTTGCAATGAGGTAAACTTGTTTGGAGGAGATAGGGTTCACAATTACTTTGAACCAGATTTTGGTCTACATTGCATGTACATATTTTTCACAATTCCCCCCCCCCTCCCTTGGAATAAAGGTTTTGAATAAGAAAATAAAAAAAAAAATATATTGATTCATTTGTTAAATTTTTAAAGTATATGTGACCCCCTTCCTTACAACAGCATGTAACACTGGCACTTAATTGATGTTTTAAACCTATTTTTCATAAATAAAAAATCCACTATGTATTATACAAAGTAACTGGAATATTTTTATAAAAATTAATAAAGTTTAAAACATCAAGCACCTATGGCATGTAAATAACATTTTATTACAATTAAGTTTTACAAAAAAATATATACATATAAAATGGTGACTGGCATTCTTGTTATTATTTGTAATTTGTAAAATTGTTGATTTACAAAGTTTGTTTAGCAATTTATTCGATAGATGACTATAAAAAAACAAACATACTACGGTAAATCTCAGTTCTCAATGGTGATTTAATCATCATTAAAGAAATACAGGACAGTCAGGGTAACGACTTGCGGTGTTTTAACAGAAATTATCACTTCAAACACACAATGGCTAATTACCCTATAATATCAATCTGGAGAACGATAATAACATCCAAGTCAGCTTCTGAAAACGCTGAATTATCAACGTTTGTCCAAAGTTTCTTTTTTCAAAAATGAATTTCTATCAAAATTTGGTTCAAAATTACATAAATTTTATTTTTTCCGAGTAACCGATTACAGATTTTCTAACCGATTGCAATTGTTCCGACCGAGTAATCAGTTAACCGGTTACAAATTGCCATCCCTAAAAAAAATACAAATGTCATGTGCCCGGAAGGGAAGAAGTTTTGAAAGGGTGTGTCTGTGAATGCTTAGTTCTAGCAGCAAACTTTGCAAA